ACATTTATGCAAAATGGTCATGGAAAATTTCGATAAACGAGTGCGTATGTGCATGCAAAGCCGTGGAGGCCATTTGCCCGATGTGTTATTCCACAAATAACCCTATCCTATGTACTTTATGATTCAATAAAAAAATAACAATCAAAAGACTAAAAACTGTGTTTTCTATTTAATTCAAATCTTGCGTTAATTTTGGGACACCCTTTACTTTGATGATGATGTTGATGATGATGATGATGATGATGATGATGATGATGATGATGATGAATATGTTTGCGATTTTGACGATGTCGATGAGAAACATGTTGGTGATTTTGATGATTTTTCACCTAGACGTTCCCAATATCGCGCTTTTTCCCTCGATGATGATGGACTTGGTGGACCAGGTGACAAGGAACTGTACCCCTTGCCCTCGGTCGATTTTCGATGTATATATTCTTTTACACGATCCATGTCTTATCACTCGTAATCGAAATTTACGAATGAAAGAAAAAATTATATACACTGTTTATATACACTATCAGATCGATGATACATCGCGATGCTTTAAGAGAAGCGCCGATGTTCGGCTGCTAAGCGAAACATAATTCTTCTACAGTAAAATGAAAGTGATACCCCAGTGAAGCGTATGAAATCACACTGGGTTCCCACAACCCTTAAATTTCTTCGAAGAAGTGTCGATAACGATTTTTTCTGAGAAGAGAGAGATCGATGTAGCGACATGTAGCGGCATGTAGCGGCATGTAGCGACACGTTAAAAGAAGCGTTGATGTTGTTTATATAAACTAGAATCGCTCGCAAAATGCTGTCTTATCTACTTCTAAATAAAAAGTATGACTCAATAGGCAAAGGGACAAAGAAGTCGCAAATGAAATATATAATGAGTTATAAGCGCTCAGTTCCGCAGTTGGTGCTCTGGAAGACGAACGAATCGATCGCAATAAGAATAGTGGAAAAAAGTATGGGTGATCATCGTGCGAACGTTGAGGACATAGCCAACGTAGTCGAGCACATTAGAAACGTGGATCCTGAACAGTTCGCGAATATCAGAGATGAAGTGTTCGAAGAGTTAGAAGAAATCGATGTAGATTTTGAGGACATAATGGACCAAGATTCCGACGAAGAAGTGCTATCCGATGATACTGGTTGTGTTAGCGACTTGAATGAGTACGATACGGATTACGCAGAAAAATTTGTGTTGTCTCCAGAAATCCACGCACTGAACGGTCATACTAAACACTGCATGATCCAGTACTACTATACAACGGGTGGTGCCTTGAATGTGTGTGCAGCATGTATGATACGTTTGGCTGACATCGATGTTGTAGGAATGTATCTTGTAAGGAAGCACGACATCGATTATATTGATGCGCTAGGCGGCCGATCTTGCACGAATTGTGGAGTGTCAATGTATACTATATATCCGTGCAGCATGTGTCCACTCTGCACACATTGAAAAAACTATTGTGAACAGTATTGTGAGCGAAACACTACTGAAAAATATGTGTGACTCTAACGTAGATGATGTGCTGCATGTTCTCGGTAATTTGCAAAAAAGAGACATAGGTGCACGAATATCGCCAGTGCAATTCCTACGCGATCGTGAATTAGGTATACGTGGTGAGAAACCTGGAACAGTTATCAGAGAACCCATTTTTGCCGGGCCTTTATTCGTGCGATAGAAAGTGTATCCATGGTTACGAGACAAATGTTACGAGGACGATGAATATGAAAAGAGGCATTGGCGGAATAGAAATGTCAATGTAATAAAGGATGATTATTATTGGGCGAAGAAAATCGTAGATAAAAGCCGAGATTACTACACCTGCATTAAGATTCCTGCGGGTAGTGAAAAGTGCGTTGAACTGCTGATTATCGACAATATATGGATAGAGTTTCGTGATCGCAATTTTACAAAGCTATTTTTCGACAGATGCAACGATCGATGCTTTAAGTGTGAACAGTGCATTTTCTCATACGAACATGACGAAAAAGTAGTAGAACATTATGATTTTCTGGATATGTCTCGATGCTGCAACGTGTGTGAACGAGTCACGTGCAAGTGCTCCGTGGAAGAGTGTAATGTGATCTAAAGAAAAAAAACATGGAAAATCACGAGCGAGTGGAACGCGAACTGCTGGAGCAGTGCAGGTCGCTACTCTGGTGGAATGTTTCGCGTGGCTGCAAAGATGCGACGAGTGCATCGAGTGGCTCGAAGAGCTTTGTCGTGCCAAGCGTCCGCGCCTTACCATTGGACACAGGCAATCCATGGTAGCGAGGATCGCGCGACTCGCGGGTGCAAAGACACGATTAGAGCGACGTTTTGTGCACGTTGGTGGTGGGTACGCGAGTCGCGACGAAAGATCTCTCGTCTGGCGAGAGATCGACGCCGCGTTTGAAAACCGTATATCGACGGGTGCTGTGGTCAGTCGATTACATCGAGCCGCGGCGGTTTTTGGAAGACGCGAGAGAAATAGTGCTCGAACGTGTGCGAGACGCGGTAGAAAGACACGGTAGTGCAAAAGTGAACACCGCGTTCAACGGCGAGTTTGCGACGAAGGATAAACGTGCTAATAAGAGCATAATTTCAAAGAACAGCGAGATATACCAATACACCGATTTGCGCGAGTGATACGAGCAGCATATCATCGAACCCACGTTGACATCACTCGAAGAGTTCCAAGAACGCGACAGCGGGTGGGCATTGTCGCGAATCCTCAATTTGATAGTGAATGTGAACAAACTAAATCCCATGCGCGCGGGATGTTACGAGGTGCCGCGAGAAATAGCGACGAAACGAGCGGTAATCAACATTAGTACGATGGACAATGCGTGCTTCGCGTGGTCGGTGGTCGTCGCTCTGTATCCGGCTGAAAAGCATGCGGAGCGAGAGCCATCGTATCCGCATTATACGACGGTGCTGAATCTCGCGGGTATCGAATTTCCGATTACGTTTAAAGACATTCCGAAATTCGAACGGTTGAACGCGGTGTCGATCAATGTATACGGCATCGAGAATAAACAAGTTCTTCCTCTGCTGCTCACCAGTGACAGGAAGGACAAGCACGTCAATCTTCTGTACATGCAAGATCCACGCGACGACGGTGTCGGCCACTTTGCGTGGATCAAGAACCTGTCGCGTCTCGTGAGCTCGCAACTAAGCAAAAAAAAGAAATATTTCTGCGATCGGTATGTACACCTTAAAAAATTATTATAATTTCCCCATCTTATTAATAAAATATAGGTAAATATAACTGTTATATTTTTTTGTTATTTTCAGATGCTTGCATTATTTCGGCACGAATGAGAAATTGCAGTCGCACACAATGGACTGCCAGAAGATCAACGATTGCGCTATTCGACTGCCGAGCGCGGACGAGAAGTGGCTCCAATTTGGGAACCATTGCAACAAGGAGCGCGTCCCATTCGTCGTCTACGCCGACCTGGAGTGCGTTTTACGGAAGACGGAACCCGACAGGGAAGGTGCGTCGTCGTACGCGTATCAACGGCACGAGGTATTCAGCATAGGCTACTACGTGCGTTGCTCGTACGACGACGCGTTATCGTCGTATCAGTTCCGTCGCGACAAAGATTGTATAGCGTGGTTCGCGCGACAACTCAACGATTTGGCGCATCGCGTGAAAAATATCGTATCCGCCAACGTGCTCATGGAAACGTTGTCGAAAGAACAATGGGAGGCGTACCGTAGCGCGACGCGTTGTCACATTTGCGAGAAACCGTTCGCGTCGGACGACACGCGGGTACGCGATCATTGCCACTTAACCGGTAGATACCGCGGTCCTGCGCATTCAAACTGTAACTTAAATTATAAAAATTCATTATACATTCCGATCGTTTTCCACAATTTATCGGGCTACGACGCGCATTTTATAATTAAGGAAATCGCTACGGCATATGAAGGACACGTAGATGTATTACCGATAACCAAAGAAAAATACATCTCCTTCACGAAACATGTCGATAGCACTAAAGATAAAACTAAAAATAACTCTCAAAGAAATTGCGTAAAATTAAGATTTATTGATTCTTTCAAATTTCTCAGTACAAGTCTCGATAAATTAGCGTCGTATCTCGATAGAGACAAATTAAAAATTATACGTTCAAAATTTCCAACATTATCGGACGAAGAATTTGAATTACTGACTCGTAAAGGTGTCTTTCCGTACGAGTACGTTGACTGTGTCGAAAAATTGCAGGACACGCGCTTACCACCGCGCGAATCTTTTTACAGTTCGTTAACGGGCGATACCGTATCCGAGAGCGACTACGCTCACGCGGCGAACGTATGGCAGCGATTCTCCATCCGAACGCTCGGCGAGTACAGCGATCTGTACTTGAAAACCGATGTCTTGTTATTAGCCGACATTTTCGAAAATTTCCGCGAAAGTTGCGTCGCGAGTTACGGTCTCGATCCAGCGCATTATTACACCTTGCCTGGTTTCACGTGGGACGCGATGTTGAAACATACGCGTGTAAAGTTTGAGTTGCTCACTGATATTGACATGATCATGTTCATCGAGCGCGGTATACGCGGTGGTCTCAGTCAATGTTCAGGCAGATACGCGCAGGCTAATAACAAGTACATGCGTTCGTACGATCCGTCGGAACCGTCGTCGTACTTGATGTACTACGACGTTAACAATTTATACGGATGGGCGATGTGTCAATCATTGCCATACGCCAAATTTCAATGGGTCGAAGACGCTGCGAACTTTGACGCGAGCGCGATCGCTCCGGATTCGCCCACCGGTTACATTCTCGAAGTCGATCTCGAGTATCCGCAGCATGTACACGACCGACACACCGACCTACCGTTCTGTCCGACGCGCGATAAGCCGCCCGGCAAGCGGGAACATAAACTTTTAGCGACGCTGTACGATAAACAGCGTTACGTCATCCACTACCGCAACCTGCAGCAATGTACTCGTCACGGTCTTCGCGTAACAAAGATCCATCGGGTGTTACAATTCGCGCAATCTCCATGGCTTCGCGAATACATCGAACTTAATACATGTTTTAGAACGCGCGCGAAAAATGATTTCGAAAAAAATTTATATAAATTAATGAACAACGCGGTATTCGGTAAAACTATGGAGAATGTGCGCAACCACGTCGACGTAAAATTATTAACTAAATGGGATGGACGGTACGGCGCGGAGGCAATGATTGCAAAACCAAATTTCCACAGCCGTAGCGTCTTTGCGGAAAATTTAATAGCCGTCGAACTGCGGAAACTCGAGGTGAAGTTCGACAAGCCGATTTACGTGGGTATGTGTATACTCGACATATCGAAAGTCTGCTTGTACGAATTTCACCACGAGTATATGTTACCACTGTTTCACGATAAATGTAAAATAATGTACACCGATACGGACAGCCTTATATACCGCGTCGAGTGCGAGGACGTTTACGAGACTGTGAAACGCGATATCGCTAGATTCGACACGAGCGATTATCCGACGGACAACGCGTACGGTATGCCTCTCGCGAACAAAAAAGTACCAGGTCTGATGAAGGACGAAAACAACGGTGCGATAATGACCGAATTCGTTGGTCTCAGAGCGAAGATGTACGCTGTGAGGGTGGACGGCAAGAAGGACATTAAAAAGGTGAAAGGCGTAAAGAATAACGTTGTAGCGCAAACGATAACGTTCGACGATTACACTCGATGTCTGAACGAAGAGATCGAAATGACTCGTCGTCAATCGTGTATACGATCTAAACTGCACGAGGTATACACGATATCCGAATCGAAAATCGCTCTGAGTCCATACGACGACAAACGATACGTCGTACCGAATTCGACGGAGACGTTACCGTGGGGACATTGGCGGATACCTTTGTAACATATGTACATATCAACATTTATATTACTATTATGTTTTTTACTTTTTTATATTTTCATACGACGTATATGTATTATCTTATATCTTACTTTGTGTATATCTTTTTACATTATTTTAAATATTCTCGTACAATCTACATACCTGTTACTATTATCATTATAATTTACGCATTATGTTTTTACGTTGTACATAAGTATTACTATTATGTTTTATATAGTATCATTTATTATGTATTACTTTTTTTTTCATTACATGTATCATATATTTATATACATATTTTATATCAGTATACTCTAAAAAATGGAATGGATAATAAGAAATATTTTTACACGTTTATATTCTTATATTCTTATATTCTTATATTCTTATATATTGTTATACGTATACAAAATATATGAATTAAAAAAAATTTATCAAATAACATTGTTTTTGTGTATCCATGAATTGTGCGATCCATCGAATCCCAGCCACTTGACGTACGCTTTGTCGCCCTTCCTGCGCAACACTTTCTCCACGAGATACACGTCCGGACGAGTAGCGCGATGCAACTCGTGCTCGTAGAACGCTCCAGCGACGGAATTTCCACGATAGTCCTCGAGTAGATAAGTTACGGGATTGGTACGCTGCACCTTAACGATCGTAAACACTTCGGTGGTCCAATTTGGTGTGTAACCCTTCTCAAAAATCGTCTTGTACTTGCTCACGCGTACCGAATCGCCTGCTTTGAATTTTGCAGGACCCGCTATCTTTATCGCACTGTACACCGTGCCCAAGAGTTTTTCGGCGATCGCAGAAGTTACGTCAGAGGGTCGCATGCCGATGGTGCGATGCTTGCGCGCGTTGTAATCTGACACCAGACGCGGCAGCTCGTCGACCCACTTGTAATTGCCGTTGAGTGTAAACATCTTCCACATGTCGTTTTTGAGCGTGCGATTGAACCGCTCGACCACTGACGCTTTCAACGTCGAATACGTGGAATAGTGATTAACGTTGTGTTTTTTCAAGATATTCCGTACATCCGCGTTGTAAAATTCTTTCCCCATATCCGTTTGTAAATTTTTCGGACATCTTTCGCTCTCTCGAACGATCTCAGCGATAGCGTTCGCCGTCTCGCTTCCACCCTTGCTCTTGAGCGGAACGGCCCACGCGTACTTGCTCAACACATCGATGACGGTGAGTATGTAGTGGTAGCCTCTGTTGAAACTCGAGTACGGACGCATCTCAACGATATCAGCCTGCCACAGATCGTCGTACCCCCGGACTATGACACGCCTTCGCGGAAAATTTCTTCTCGCCGGAGCGTGCAATTCCTCGACGAGCCGACGTTTCTCCGAGCTAATTTTTTCTCTCTTTTCATCGGATTTCTTTTTCATGATTCGACGTGTAATACACAGAGTACAAGAAATTAATGTATTTTTCTCGCTGGTGTCCCTCGACTGACTCGTTTTACGAATACGCGAATTAATTTATAATAAGACCGGCTTCGCGAAGTTCCTCGATGATCGACAGCATCTCGTTGTCGTGAGCGTTGTTGCCCGCTCGGTGCGAAGCGTCGAGCAATCGTAGACGATCCACCAGCTCGTTGGGATCATCCCAGTGCACGTAATCGATCGCGTTGTCGTTCAATGTCATTGCGTGAGGCAATCCCTTTCCAGATTTCTTCTGTTTCTTGGGTGTGATCGACATCAACGGCGCGATTACGTGTTTGTACTTGTATCCTCTGTTGCTCAATAATCGGCCCTGCGAATGATACTTGTGTTTGTGCGCGTTCGTCACCAACAGCATGCTCTTGTACTTGTGCATATCGTCTTCCGTGTAGAGGGCATCGTCGGGAATTCTCTTGAAAATCAACTCGTAAAGACCTGGTGTACCGGCGTATCGTACGCCGTCGATAATTATGTTGTCCGCGTCATCCACGTCGAAACGTTTATTGCCAAACATCAGCCCATCCTCGTGCAGGTAAACGCCGTACACGCGATCTATACCGCTCTCTTTATCTTTCGCTCCCCTCAGGACGGCCTCGACGTACTTTTGACCCAGCGGGCCCAAACCAGCTCGTAACGCCTCTCGACCTTCCGACGTTTGCAGCTGATTTTGAACCTTCGTCGCTAGCGAATCTTCCGTCGTTTCGAAAACGTTCTCCAACGACTCTATCGTTGGCACGATTTTGGCACGCGGGGTGGAGGCTATTGGCTGTACATCATCGTGCGATCGATCATTGGATTTATGCAGAGTCGTGGAACGCTCGAACGTCTCGCTCGCTTTTTCTCTCTCCTCTTGTTCCTCTTCCTCCTTCCTCTCGCGTTTATGGGCAGACGCTGCATCTTCGTCGCGCGACTCTCTCTTTGTCGCGCGCACGTCGGAGCTGTCGGCGAAAAGTCGCAGCGGCTTGATAAGAGGCCTAAAACGTCTGTTCAACGCGATGTCCTCCTCGATTCTACCGGTCTTCAGAGCGCGATGTTTCTTGCGGATCGACTCGCTCGTCTTCTCGATCGCTCTCGCGATTTTTTCACGCTCGCGCACATCCGCCATGTTCGTCCGAGGCTAAGTATCGACAACGACTGGTCGCGTTACGGTATCGCGAACTCGTTAAATCCTTTTCTGTATCGTCCATTTGTGAGCGCACTGTCTTTGTCTACCACTACGAATCCATACTTTTGTCGCCAACAGGCGTGGCACAACTCGCAAAATTCGTTGTACGACATGTCGGTATTTACATGATCGTTGTAAACGTGTTTCAAGTTGGTACCGTCCTGTTTGAATAGGATCAGAAGGTTCGCGTTGTCGCGTATCAGATGTTTAGGTATTCTCGCGTACGTCTGACAGAGATAGAAGCAGTCAACGTTCGCGTGGCGACCCATCGAGAAGTATTCTCTCACCGCATCCTGCTTGTCGCATGCCACGTCATCAAAGATAAAAATAGAATTTGGACGCGCCTCACTCGGTGGAACGACGTCGCTGTTGTTGGAGAACGTAAAGTAGCCGATTTCGTCGATAGACGTAAACAAATTTTCGAGATATCGATACTTTGGCTGTTGCAACGATTTCGAATAGACGTACACGTTCTCGAAACGTACGCCGTTCGGGCTCTCGAGTAAGCTTACGAGAACGTTGGTTTTACCGCAATTCGACGGGCCGCAAATGATCGCGCGTATAGTACTCGGCAGCATTTCGCCGTGCTTGCGCTTCTCCGCGCTACCTCCCATCATTCGCGATTTCGCGTCACAGTTCGTGACGCGTATCGTCAGCGGTTGCAGCACGAATTTCATGCTCACACTACAGGCTGTGCGCTCTCGAACGGCTATTTAAAGACGCGCGAATCCCGCGAATCGCGCAGTAGCAAAATGTATCTCGCGCTGAGTCATCCTTCCGATATTCGAAACTTGAGCGCCGAGCAGTTACAATATATACCGAAGGTCGTGCTCTTACGCGTGTACGGCGATTACGTCGAACACGTCTGGGACCGGCTTCCGGAACACGTGAAGGCGGATTCGGAGGTTCGAACCTATCGTCGGTGCGACGAGCACTACAATCAGCCGTGGCAGCGAACGCACATCGACGGTCCCGCACCTAAGATAAAGGACTGTAACGAATGTCAGCGTCGGGCGGTGGTCTGTTGAATCGAGCGGTAAACGCGCTTCCTTTCGAGTTACATATTCCGGGCTACCAGTTTTGCGGCCCAGGCACTCGACTTGCGAAGCGATTAGCCAGAGGTGACGCGGGCATAAATCCGCTGGACGCGGCGTGTCGGGAACACGACATTGCGTACTCGCGCAGCAACGATCTCACCGATAGACACGCGGCGGACGATATACTAGCCGAGAAGGCGCGGAAACGCATTACCGCGAGTGATTCGGCTCTGGGCGAGAGAGCCGCCGCTGCTGCCGTTTGGGCAGCGATGAAAGCCAAGACCAAGATCGGCATGGGCATGAAACCGAAGAAGAAGACGACGACGACGAAGAAAAAAACGACGAAAAAGCGGATACTTCCAACGGCGAAACGAGGTGGTGCGTTACCGTTTCTGCCAATGTTGGGCGCGCTCGGATCCTTGATCGGCGGAGCGGCCAGCGTGGCGAAAGCGGTAAACGACAACAAAGCCGCGCGACGTCAGCTCGAAGAGCTGCAACGACACGACCGCGCGTTGAAACAGGGCCGCGGACTGTGTCTCGCTCCGTACAAATACGGACGCAGACTGTATCTGGGCCCGTACAAACATGGACAGGGTGCAGCTGCAAAGAAAAAAAAAACCGTCAAAGAGACGATAAAAATGCCGTCTGGCGCAACTACCAATGTGCAGTTAAACGAGCTCGCGAGACGTATGCGCATACCATACTTTAGAGACGTTTTCATGCGTAACGCGTTACCGATGAGCGGTGCGCGTCGAAACGAAAGCGGTATCGTGAATCCGGAGGATGCGACGGGGCCTGGTACTCACTGGGTAGCGTACGCGAAGAGGAACAACCGCGTCGTATACTTTGACAGTTTCGGTAATCTTCGACCTCCCAAGGAACTGGTGCGATATTTCGGGAACGGTGCTACGACTATAGAGTACAATCGTACGTCCTATCAGACGTACGATCAGAACTTCTGCGGACAGATGTGCCTGCGGTTTCTACAAACGGTAGACGCGCACGAATTTAAAAAGCTCGGCGAGATGCTGTGAAATTTCAGTATTTGTCGAACACCGTCATGTCGCTGACGCTTACGCTGAACGGGAAGAGCACCGTCCTCGCGGCAAACTACTTTCCCGCCATAGATTTGAATGACGGCGATTACGAGCTCGGTCTGGTGATTTTTGAGACTTATCACACGATACCGAACGTGAATAATTCGAACAACAAATTTTATTTTGCCAAAGATGACGTGGAAATTACAATTCCCGAAGGTTCGTACGAAGTGCGAGACATAAATGAATTTCTGAAACGCGCGATTTTACGGAAACGTCCTCACCGCGACGCGCTTGAAACCGCTGACGTAGTGCGCGGTGACAATAAGAACAA